TCCCTTCGATTCCCCTCTTCTCTGTCTGTTCCTTGTGATTCTTCCGTCAGCTTTCGTCGACCTCGTTACCAAGAGTAGACGCGCGTCGTCGTCCTAAGTGACTAGCAGCCTTCGTTCTCGACCCGCAGAACGAACGATCTGCTCTGCCTGTCGTCGAGATTTTTCGAGAGATTTTCCAACCGAGCCAACCAGTGTTTAAGATAAGTTGAACCAAACGTGACTGAAAAGATTCGTTCGGATACGAACGTTCCTCGGCGAGTACGAAATTCATTCGAATTCGTGGGTGTGTCGCATCCGAGGTGCGAGAAAGTGAGACGGATTAGAATCAGCTTCGAGGAGGCTCGCGTGAAGGAGGAACGATGGTTTTCCACGGTACGTGTGAACCTCTTACGTCGTTTCCTCTTGACAATTACGAGGAATCTTCGGCGCTCTTCAACGAAGAGAAGGATACTCACTCGCCGCGTTACTTCGTCGTGGTAATGATCGCGTGCTGAAACGATCGGGAGGAAGCGAAGATCGTGCGAAGTTCCGGGAAGACACTGGCCAAAAATTGTGAAAGCGAATCGGAATTAGAAAGTCCTGGCTGCCCGTCGTGTAATCTATTTTAATTTCAACGAGTATTCGTAAATAACGATACTGGATCGTGTCATTCTCCTCTCGTCATACGCGGTCGCTATCCTCCTCAGATACAAGAAGCGCGCGAATCGCGATCGTATCATTATTAAAAGGAATAAACCTTCATATAAAAATATACATGCTGCTCACAAAAATTAGGAGATATTTCAGAACGAATATGAAGCGATAAGAAGCATTCGATTTTAAACAATAATTTTGTACGATGATCGATAAATTATAAATTCATCGTACTACTAATATTTTTTAATAACTATTATTTAATAATATTTAATTGAACAATAAAATTAATTAATTAATTATTTATACACTTTAGACTTTAGAATGTACGATATACAATTTTCATCAATGTTCTAACTTGATTATCTATTTTACAACTCTTATTTATATCTTCGTTAATTTGTTAAGTATCCTTGGCAATTATTTACAAACGTCTCCACAGTAATTATGTTAAAATATTGATTTCTTATTTTAGAGTTTAACAAAGTTGGCGCCGTAAATTTATTTGAAATGGACTCTTCGACATTGGAAAACAGATGTCGCTACAAAACAAAATCAATTGCTTCTTTTTCAGTCACTTCGAAATATCCCCTAATTTCTGTGAGCAGTGTATTTGCATTCGTTTTGTCGAACTGTCCGAAATACTTGCGCATGCACGAAGTATTTACACACTTGGTCTACGTGACTTTCGAAAGCGTTTCTCGGCGCGCTTTCGGCGCGAACGCCGCGTAATCGTCCATTCGAATCGGGCACCGCGAGTTACGTGGCCAATGTAATTACGAGCCTCGAGGTTCGTAACGAGGCATTGCGTCGATCAGCGTCCTCTAATAAGAGGATCGCGATAAAGTTATCGCCGTGCGGTACACACCGCGGCGATCGTCGTCTACTAATTTCACGTCGGGATCTCTTCATTAAAGGAATCCTCTTGCTTCGCCGACTTCCCTGCTCTCGCTTAATTAACAATCGCGCGAGAGCTGCTACCGCGCTGTGTTAATCGAGCGTTCGTGACCGCGAAGAATATGGCCATTTTCGTAAAGCGATTGCGCGTTCGTTCGTTTACAATTTCGAGATTGTCCCCTGTCGAGGAGTCATTTCGTGGGACGTTCGAGGACGGGAGATTTCATTGAATTTGAAACGAAAGAATTTATATACATATGCAGAGAGATGGCGTGCAGGTTGTTTCATTTTATGCTCCGAAAGTGAATTCTCACGTAACAGGCATTGTATAACAGCGTTTACTTATTACAAAATCCTTCTTGGGCATTGCTTTTAGATATCTGTTTGATTGGAAACTTTTGCACAGTCATACTATTGAGATTGGTATGGTATCACTGGATATTCGCAAGCAGAAAAATATACAACGAGAGTAAAATAGTTTCAACAATTTTTTTTAAATTAACATCAAACGACAAGTCTCCTAACGTTTTGCAATTACCATGTATTGTACTAGTGGTTCTTGGTAATAACTTGATATTTTAATTCAAGTTAAATTACATTAAAATATTAAAAATCGATAATGGACTTTCGAGCGGAACTGCACATTTATTCCGATTGAAAGATTAATCAGAAGGAACCGCGTAATTACGTAAGATTTATATGTCTTTTCATAAAAAAAAGAGAAAAGAAATTTATAGAAGATCGAAGAGATAGAAGAAGACTTCACGCAGATCTTCTTAATTATCTGGAAAGCCACTGTAATGTTCACCAACGTTTTACGTAAGATCGTGTTCTCGTCTGGCAGCGATCTACTCGATTCCCTCGATGAATATTTATCGCGGATTTAATTACTGCGTCGCGAGATGTGTCAATTAAAGCCGGCATGTTCACGAGCTACTAAAAGGTAAAATCAAGTCCCTGTAAATTGTCGCGATTCGACCGAAACGATCTGTCAAACGATCTCTCCTTATCGATTCGCTGGGAGGACAGTGGCGAGAACCGGAAATTCATTAGGCGTAACGACCGCGAGCAAAAATCACCGTGAGAAAATCAACGCTGCCATTTAAAAGGCTCGTAAAGGTATCGTTTACTTATCTTTTAAACCGTGGCAACGTTTATACTTTTTTTTCTTTTTTTTTTTTTTTTTTTTCAATGAGGTTGAATTTATTTCCATTATGATATTAGATAAGCGTACGTGTATGTTCCAAGATAGGGATATATCACGCGATAACGTGAAGTGTAGACACTATGAATGAAACTTAACCGCAATTCGCATTAATTCCTAACTGACGGCCGTGGTCAAATTAATTATCGTTCGATTTTTCTATTTATTTGAACGTTGATGTAAAATCATGAAATAGAAGCAAATATAAATATGTCCAAAATAAAAAAAAAAATAATCTGCACGATCTTGTCATTTCAATTTTGTGCCGAGGATTATGTTATTGAAATAGAAATAACGAGGCATAAAAATTCGAAGAAATCTTTATACAATCTTCAAATTATAATCTTGAAGTTTTATATTGAAAAGATTCCGTCCATTCGAGATCTAGAATTTCGAATTCCAGGGAACTCAAATTTGTAGAGGATAAAAAATTTCGAAAAGAAGCGTTACGTCAGCTCGACTGTTTTCCAAAGTGCCACCCGTTTAACGATTCGCTCGTTAGACAGTAAGATCGCTCGGTTGCGCGACTCGCAATACCCAGTCGATCGTTAATACCTAATTAACGCGAGAGCTCACTATTCCTCGACGAGTTTGCCCACTGAAACGCGATGCATTCCTACGTAACATACATCGAGGAAAGTACACTTCAAAATATTCTACGAGTTTCGTACTGCCGTCACGGCTCGCAGTAACATTGAATCTGAATTCCACCGAGCGATCTCGAGAAGCGTCTCATTAGATTCATCATCAGCCTCGATCAGAGCTATCTGGAATTGAACGAAAGCGCTTCCCGCGAAAGACACGAGTGCCATTACACTTATGAACTTATGGTTGATCCACTTTCGAAGATTGGCCATTTTTTGATGCTTTAAGTCACGTTTCCAATATGGAGAGTGGCTTGGTTACTCTTGTTCCCGGAATCCAGTGTGTGACAAAAATCCAAGAGTTTTTGGTGAAAGAATTTTTATCGTATTTCACCGTGGTATAGATTATAATGAAAACATTCCGCGAAGAGAAATATTCTGTGAATTTCTCATTGTACGGAATATTTAGATCATTTGTTTAATAGTTTGCATAGTGTTAATACACGAGTTGCATTCGCAAATATTAAGTTTCATTTTGATACGAAATTGTCAACTCAAAACTGGAGGAACGATTATTTGATCAGAATTGAGATCCAAATATTTTGCAAAATTGAGATTCATAAAAATTTGGTGAAACCATTTGCGAGAATTGTAAGTTATAATACTTATAATTACATATATAATATTAAAAAATATATATATATAAAATAATTATATATTAATTCTAATAATGGTTTGATTGAAATCCTGCAATTTGGAATTTCTTCTTACGAGTTTTGTCCAAAGGCTGAATTTATGGCAATTCACAGAAGGATTAAAAACACAATTTATAAAATTCATAAAACTTCGAAAGAATGACGACGAATGAGTGTAATGCTGTTGTTAACGATACTACTTTCGATATTTCGCAAGTTTCGAAGCTCCGAGTTCCTCCCTCCGGATGCGCGTCCCGATGAAAGACTGTCGAAGAAACTCGCAGGATATCATTAGGAAAACTGTTCGAGCGACGTCCTCTAATTTAGCTGAGATTAAAGATTTACGGGAAGTTTTTGTCTCCGGAAGGACACCAATTAAAAGAAACTGCAATAAATTGGTAGATGGTTGAAGAAGTTATTGTCGTAACTTCGCGATCCTTCTATTTTGATAACCTCGAAATTATGACAAAACACTTGTCGAGATATGTGAGAGACTTTTTCTTTAAGTAAAGTAATTAAAAAAAAAATTTTTTTCTTGCCTTCTTC